GAGCCACGACGTAATGGTTTTAAGAATTAATATAATACTAGCAATGTTTGATAAATGATTTCATATGATTACTTAATTAAAAAATGAAATTTTTAGCCTGGAAAATTGGGATGTTACATTGCCAAGGCATGTTTATCACGTAAAGTTGCAAACTTTACGTGCATGCAAAGCTCAAAATGCCAAAACCAAGCTTGAAATGGAGTTTTACACTTAAGGAGAGGCTCATACTTGCTTCAGCTGAAAGCTTTATGCGCTTAGAGACCAAAGAGAGTTCAGATCTGAAGTTACAACTTCATATCTTAGCTCATACCCAAGAATAACTTGTTATTATGCTATAAAAGCCCTAATGTTTAACCAAATGAGATCTAGAATGAAATAAGGTCAAGGTAATGAATTGATACCTTCAAAAGATGCTAACTGAGGTAGATATCAGATCCACACTCGTTCCTTGCTTCTAGCCTCTTGCCCTCCAAGCTCTTATACAAAGATCCACCTTCCAAAGCTTAAATCACACAAGAATGAAGCAAACACATGGATTAGAGTTTTCTGGCCTCTCAGGAGGCTGTGAGGGGGCTAAAGGAGGGTTATGATCCTTTAAATAGCATGCAAAACCCCGAAAAGTAGGGTTTCATCCTTCAGCTCCTACTCGTCGAGTCCATTGTTGGACTCGGCGAGTAGGTCACTTAAACACGTAGCCCAACCGGCTTCTACTTGACGAGTCAGGGCATCCAACCCGTCGATTAGACCTTGCAATTTATGAACATTAAAGCTATAACATTATCAACTGAGAGTCGGGGCGTTACATTTAACCCATGGATCCTAGGTAATATGAAGATTCATGAGCATTAGGGTTTACATGGTGCTAACCCTAATCTTGCCACTCTATGTAAGAAGCCCCTTAGCATCCAAAATGGAACACTGGTGACCCTTGGAGTTCCACGAGCCGATTTTAGGTGAAATAATATAATCTTAAAAGTCATCCTTTGTCCAAAGCTGTTTTGTGATTCCATTTGAGGTGCAACACTTGGGGCACTAAGTTCTTAAAGGCCAAACACAACAAGTTCTACAAGCCACAACTAAGAGGTAACTCTATAACTCAATTCTAAGTTGTTTATATCATTTTGTATGCTAGTTGTAGGCTTAATGCTTTGGAAACAATATTGCATGTATAATTAGAGAAAACATTGATCCAAAGCATTTAGGGTTGTATGTGCACCATAGGATGTTGTAGTATACTTAAACCCATCACTAATAACAAAGCCCAAGCCCAAAACCTAAATAAAACAATATTAAGCCTAACCAAAATCACATGTGATTTTGGTCCAAACAACACCAAAACATGGTGTTTTCGGTTCTAGACCGAGAACTCTAATAGCTAATGAAAAGCAAAGTATAAACCACAATTTATGACCTAACAATCTCCCCCTTGGTTTATAGCTTTCTTTTCACTTACAATAAACCATAATTTAGTCCTAACAAGTAGCCTTTTTAGTGCAAGTTGAAGGCAAAGTAACGACTATTGTCCAATGTCGAAAGGGTCTTGATGTAGTGTGCACCTCTGTATCGACTGAATTAGTATAAGTATCTAATCGGGGGAACTGGTGAACCGTACATAATGGCTAGATGCGTAAGACAGAAGGCTCGCATTACCCCTTTTCCTTGATCCAAGTTTTTCTTAGCTTCGGTAGTAAATCACCTAATTGATGTTGATAAAGGAAAAGTAAAAAGGAGTTGCTCTATAGAAAAAAGTGCAGAAAAAGATACACGAAACTAAGATCGAAAGACTTAGGAATTCAAACAGCTTGTTGATGAGAAGAGCACCAAGTTCAAAAGGAGAGGATCAGGGTGATATAAATAAGGTATGGAATTCTGATATAATTGAGGATATAGTATTTAGAGAAATTGATATATTTGAGAAAGAACCTACGCAGAGCTACTCTATCGAATATTTTAATTTGCCAAAAAATTTGAAGAGCATAAAGACTACAAATCATAAAATCAAATTTAATGCTATTTTGGTAAAGAATGAAGAGGTCGTTTGATATTTTATAAGAGGATTATAAAGATATTTTCAATTACCAAAGAGGCTCTGTTTGATAATATCATGCAAAATTATCGATATAAAGTGCTTAGAGAATCTGAATTCACAATAGTTGATTTTCCCTTGACGAATCATAATGACTTCATAACCTTCATTCATATCTTCAAAGTACATGACAATTCCAAGGTTCCATCTACAAGTGTCTACTATGTTGGTTATGGAAATGTTAAAAGATTTTTGTATTATTACTAGGCACAAATGGGACTAACTGATTTCAAACTGGCAAAATCTTATAACAAAGTAGTTCAAAAACCATGCATGGGGTTGGAAGATATAGATTAATATGCTCATGGGGAGATTTTATTAAAGACTAGAGGGGTTGTGTATTACGGAAAGAAGGTAAATAATGTGCATAAGCTATATTAGAATCAATCTCCCACCCTACACTTAAATTATGCAATGTCCTTATTGTATATAAAGTTAAGGGTAAAATAGAAAGGACTCCCCTTGAGTGATAGTGGTAGGAAGATGAATCCAAATGATGCATTTCAGTAAAAATTAATGTACAACTCTAAAATTGTTAAATTACTAATTATCTCAACACAATCTATAAGTTGTGTCGAAATTTTCATTATTTAGGCTAAAAATGTATCGTAAATGAGCTCAACTATTATTCTATAAGCTATATATTCAATTTGAGCAAGAACCTCACAAATCTTTGAGAGTATATGTGAAAATAAGGTGTAGAGAGTGAAAAGTTTTAAGAGAACATTCGGTTATAGTACTTAATAGTAGAATAGCATACAATTAATTCTCTTACACAACCAAACTTATCTTGCGCTACAAAGCTAAGCCTCATCTTGTGCTAAAAAGCCAAACCCCAACCTACAACCCTCCAACCCAAAGCCTCAACGAGCCTGATAAGAACGTCATTGGGAAACCCAACCCCTTATCCAAAGAAATCTTACCTCACCAACCCCTTCCACACCGCAAAGCAAAAGAAACGATGACAACTAAATTTAAAGTAAACCATAAATGGTGGAATTTGATGGAAGAATTGGTGTTGACATAAGCATGGGTTTACATATCCGAGGATGAATAGGAAGGAAATGCATAATCGATTGACTATTTCTGGATACGCAATACCAAAAGATTTGTTGCACAAATTTATCATGGTGACTACCATAATTAACACAAGTTGAATTCAATGTTTTCAGATATCATGTGGAATGTAACGAAGATGAAAGGGTTGTAAAACAAGCTAAACACTTAATGGAAAAGTGGACAAAGCGATGAAGAAATTCTTTAAGAGGTGTATCAGTTTTTTCCTGAGGAGAACAACATAAATCAATTCAAATATAATGACTCTTGAGAAATTTTTTCGCATATTCCAAACTGAAAATAATTCAAAGACAAGCTAGTTGAAGGAGAATGAAGAAAAAGAACGAAAACGTAGTCAAACAGTTACACAACTTCTTCCGATGCTCGTATCAGGTTAGATTTGAATAAGATGATGAGCTCAAGTTAGACAAAAATTTCCCACCGGATTGGTAGGCAGAAAGAAAAAAAGAAGTGAGGGATCATCTTCAAATGTATCGAGATTCAGTAGCGAAATGAAGGACATCAGGAAAATGTCAATGAGCTTCGAACAATATCACTTGAATTTCTCCAAACGTTTGACAATTAAAAAGGAAAAAAATTTCCAAAAAATAAAAGGTGCGCAAGAAAAACAAGGATAGAAGATATGAAGCTTTTTATGCAAACTACCGACCATCTTTTGGGGATATGACCTCTAGATGGTTTTGAAGATGAAAGAGAAAACCATAAAAAAGTATTTACAAATAGTTTTGATATCCTAATTTGTTTTATTATTTTTTTGAATATGTATTTTTTTTTTAATTTCAATTATGTTCTTTTCTATTTCCAAGTAATGAATATTAGAATTTTTATTAATTTTTTGTTTAGTAACTATTTTATTTTATTTAATATAAATTATTTATTAACAATCAGTTTTTTAATTTAAAATAATTTTATTGGGAAAAAAATGATGTGGAAGGAAATGTAACAATAACGTAGGTTTTGAAAAGCGGAAAAAAAATGAAATGGTGTTGAATTGGTATATAAAAACTTAATGGTGAAAGGTAAACACACCCTCCTGCGGAAAATCCTAATTTAGGAAACAATGAGTATTGTACGTATGACAAAACATGCATAATTTCTTGTCTTGAATAATACGAATAAATGATTATTTATAATTAAACTAAAGGAGTACTATAATATTTTTTTTCAAAAGAGAACTTCTAACGAATGATTCGAGCCAACTTTCATGCACCAATTAATTCCTGTTACAAATATGCGGCTTTTCTTCATGCCACGGAGTCACTGCAGACGAGCCTCCGTTGTTATGGAGGCCGAGTAATGTCAGGATTTGTATATGAATCAATAGGTTATCTATTATATCTTTCAAATGTTTTACAAAATCACCACAACCTAAGTGATTTTATCTTTGTCGACTTCTTATAGGAATTCCGAATTTAAAACTAATTATTTTGACAACGTACACTCCTTAATGGCCTCTTATTCCTCACTTTATCATTATGAATGATTTTAGCAATCCAACATGATGGCGGAAATTTTGGATCTCAAAATTGCAATCGCAATAACATAAAAATAGGTGTTATAAGAATTCACAAATGTATCGAGTATTTATTGATATAGACGTATACTTTGACTTGAATTGCTTACATATTTTTTTATTACAAATTGATATAAAACTTCAATTAGATACCATTAAAATAACAATTAGAGCGACTTTTACATATAATGACGCCAATTTCAAATACCAATGACAGATCTTGTCTCTTTATGACCAAATATCTTGCACTAGTAAATGGTCGTGGGATTGTTCTTAACGCATATGCGGTTATTGATACATATGAAAAAAAAAAAAAAAAAAAATCTAGATAATTTGGCAAAATGACAGCATCTCCTTGTCATTCTCGAATATTTCCATGTCTTCTTTATCCAAAACCACTAGCGCCTCGATACCATCTCCATCCGGAGTATCCGTCAACAGGAAACCAATCCTATCTGCGGATCTAACTGCTATAGATGCACCCATAGGCTTTCCCCACCCGAAATCCACCTTGTTATAAGGGAGCCCACATAAACTGGAACACCAATACGATCTCTGGGTAACATCCTCTATATCTTCGTTTCCAAGCTTTAACTTCAACGTTTTAAAGTTCTCAGCAGCATGTTCCACACTTGGAATACCTTCAAGTTGGGACTTTTCTTTCTTCATCTCCTCCACCATTACATTTAATGAAGTTTCACTTGCCTGCCTCGTCGGTATCATCATGATCCCCACGAAATTTCCCACCATTGTTTGGGGCAGCTTTTCCACAAATTTGTTACGTATATCCACCGGCATAAACAAGTAAGACGGCTTAAAGCAACCTGATTTTGTGGTGGCTGCTGCCACAGCGGTTTTATACAGTAGAGAGGTCAATACTTCAACCCGTGTAGGGTTTTTAATAAGTGATGTAGATCCAGCTAACGTCAAGGCGTTGACTTTGTTCTTGATATCGCTTAATTTTGTGTTAGGGAAAACGAATTTCTTTGTGACACGATTGGCATAGCCTTGACTGATAACCTGAGCTTCTGAAAGAATAGAACTTATACTCGGGGAATGAAGGAAATGAGGGTTAAGGGGTTGTACCTCTTTGTGCTCAGTTGAACCATAACGTGTAACCGAAGCCCAATGACTTATAAATGACACTAAAGTGCAGCCATCACCAATTTTGTGTGACATAGACAATCCCACAATGACTCCACCACAAGCAAAGTGATTGAGTTTAACCCCAATAAGACTCTTACTATGAGGAGAGTTGTCACAAAACAGACCATCGGCAAAAAGTTGCTCTACAGTTTCATCTTGTTCACTAATACAATGCTGGAACGTTTCCAATTGGCTATCATTTTTGGCTTCAACAAATACAACTCCCTCATCGTTACAATCAACATAAGGTGTTGTGGGAGTTTGTAACCTTCCTGCGAAGGGGTAGTATCGTGCTAGGCTCTGTGACAACGATTTCTTCATGTTCTGGGCTTTATCATGAGCAGATAAATTGATGTTGTCATTGTTTGAGTAGTAGAGAATCAGTGGCATGTACGTGTGTTGGGCTAATTTATCAATTGAGGAAAGATTATAAGTGTGGAGATGAGAAGGGTGGGTTACACAGGAAGGCTTAATTGTTTCTCGAGAGATAATGGTGTGAAGTTGCCTTCTTCCTAATCGTAGGAGCTTCCCTATCATCCTGGGTTAATGGCTTCGTCAAACACCAAGGTAACACTTTGTTTTAGCGTTGAATCATTATATAAATGTACCTGGTGACATGGTCAAGAGTGCCACCCCATTCTTTCAAATGAATGGAAACTGTATATATTTTAAATTTTAACCGTTATGGCAACTTGCTTTCCCATGCATTACAGATCGATTAGCTTCCCATTTGACTTTCTTGATAGGTTCACATGGTGCAATTTGTAGTGTTAATTACGGCTCTTGGAATCAGTTCCCCAGCTGCCTTTCTTGATTAATTAATTGACTTGGTGCAAATTGCAATATGGTGATCAAGATCCCTTGGTAAGGTAAGCAGGAAAATCAACCTATATAATATATAATAAAAGAATTGAAATCCGTTGGTATATGGAGCTAGTAGAATTGAATTAACATAACAGAACATAACAGAACTATTCATAACAGAACAAAATTAGACTGAACTAAAAATATTATATACTACGGATGAAAGTGGGTACAATCCGGGCCCGGATGACCCGGACCCGGAAAACCAGAAACCGGTTAACATTATTTAGTAGGACCGGAGACCGGACGGTTATAAAGGTATCGTTTCGGGTAAAGTGGCTCTAGAACCGGTAAACCCAAAATATCAAAGTGGGTAGTTTGGAGTCTAAAACTAAGGCCAAACATTAAACTACATTTTTACAAAATAATCAGCCCGAACAAACTTATAACGAAGTGGTTATGACGGTTTAAAGCGAACTAAAAATTCAGCACAATGCAGTAGCAGGAACAAAACAGATTTGATATGGCATGTTTAGAGGGCTGTAAGGTACTCAATACATATGCAAATATAATGTTTCTTGAGTCTACAAATAAGGTCAAACAGTTATCTACAATTTTAAAAAAATATCAGCCCGAACGAACTTATAACGAAGCAGATATAACAGTTTAAAGTTGAGTAAAATTTCAGGAACAATACAGTGACAACAACAAAACAGATTTCTTATCTCATGCTTAGAGGACCGTAATTCACTCGATACATGTGCAAATAAGGTGTTTTTGGAGTCTACAACTAAGGCCAAACTTAAAAAAACATCTGCCTGAACGAACTTATAACGAAGCGGATATGACAGTTTAAGTTGAACTAAAAATTCACCAGAATTCCTTTATATTCTTGTTTTTATGGAACTAATCTTTCACTTCATGATGTTACCAAAAGAATACAAGTTCAAAAAACATGATTCCCGCTTTACCCGATTCCGATTCTTGTACCCGGTTCCGGTTCTTTACCCGTTTCCGCTTCTTTTACCTGGTTTACCCGGACCCAATATCCCCATGCCCGGAATACCCGAAACCCGGATAATGCTATTATTAAAACCAAAAACCCAGACCGATTTAGTATATTTCGGTTCAACCGGTTCCGGTTTCGGTCCGATTCTAGTTCTTGTCCGGTTTTCCAGTTCTAAATCTCATCCCTATTATGTACCCAACATTTGGTTTGACTAGTACAAGACAGGAAAAAACATTAAATTTACATAATTATCCTTTGTATATTATTATTATTGTTATTATTATTATTATTATCTCCAAAGCATTAAACCCTTGCGGAGCTGTATACATCCACCGCCTCTTTATCTTCTTCCACTATACGATTTCCTTGCCTTTCAGCCACCGCCTCTCAAACAATCAAATATCTGAATGTGATATGATAATAACCATATTTGTAGTCTTCAAATTAAAACAATTGATTATCCAATTGTATTTTTCAATGAGCATTTCCGAGTCGTTGTAAATTATAAAATATTGCATTTCTTATATATACAATAAGTTGCAGCTTTTCTTTTTCCTGTAAAAAGTGAGAAACAAAAAGTTTGAAGGAAATTTTCGTGTACAGAGACCACGATCGTTTGTTATATTAGTTTTAAATTATTATCAGTCGTCTTTCTTAATTATATAAACTTATTAGTGTTATTCTGAATTTTTCTTATGAATCGTTGTTTTTGGAGTCGTTAATTGAGACGTTGCCAACAATAAAACTGATAAATACGCAGAGTGTGTTTATGTCATTATAAGTTTGTTCAATCTCGTTCCACCCTGTTGGGTGGGACTAAAATTTTAGCATTTAGTCCCATTGACTTAGTTAATAACTAATTTTAGTTTTGTCCCATCCATACCAAACGTTTGTTAAAAAAACTTTGTTATGTTCTGTCCAGTTCAGTTCCACTTACCAAACGGTAGCTTAGAGTACCAAAATGTTAGTTGGCTAGGATAACTCCTTGATATGCTTGTGTAGTTTATGCATGTTGATAAGAGAGTTGGCAGGTCGGCGTTAGAGCCGAGGACTTTGTGTGGATGCATTGTATATATAATGGCATATGTGGTATACTGGGAAACTCTCTAAGCTTTACGCTTACAATTATGGATTAAATGTTTTTGCAGGTTGTTCGTGAGATGAGCTCGGTGGAATTATACACACGCATCGAAGATATTTGTTTTGGCAGTTTTGAAATTTAACTTTGATATGTATGGTTTTAGCCAAACGAATGTTACCTAATGATTTATGAGATAAAGGTTTTAAATGGCTAATTTATTTAGAAAACGAAAAAAAATCTTTGTAATTGTTGGGACATTACAAGGGTGAATCAGAGCATTGGTTTGATGGATTCAGGCATAGTTTATGGTGTGTCTGAACCCCAACTGTGGACTGGGTGATTTTGTAAAAAATATTGTGAAAGAGAATGCTTTTATTCAATAAAACGGCTTTCCAAAAAGATTTTTATAACAACTGGAGGATGTGATGCATACATTCGGTCGGAGCTCAGGAAGTAAGTAATTCCAGTATACCCGTATGATCTCGTATTTGTGTTATGAATTGTTATGCATGCTAGAATATAGGCTGTAGATTTGCTCAAGAATTGCATGATATAATTGTCTGACATTTAAGATGCATTATATCCTATAGAATTGTTGGTGCGTGCTACATGAAGTTTTGATTGATAATGTTAATTGCTTCGTGTATGTTTTTAGAGTTGTACACGATTAAGATTATACATGCTTAGAATGACTGATTTATCCTTATTTTATATTCCTTGTTTGGTTGTGGGCGTAGGGTAGAATATATTATTCAAAAGTTTATTTGATCATGTTTTGTGTATCACATGCATGCACGATCAAACCAACGATGGTGGTAGAGATTTCTAGCTATATGGGAGCACGTGGGAATGGAAGAATGTGAGAGGGAGAGTTTAGGAAGTGTACCATTATGCATATGGCAAGACATATGCATTTGTGTGAGGAGTTTAGTGGAATGTTGCGAAGTGACTTGGAGTCTTCGAATAGTCCTCGGAACAAGTATGGATACGTGTGGAAGGTAGTATTGATCCCATACTACTGAAAGTACAAGATCCTTTTTCAAGAATACCGAGGAACTGTAGGTAGGTATGCATATTGTGGGATTGCACTGTGAAATGGTTTTGATAAGTTCCCATTATCTTTCTATTTCAGGATGACGACCTTCCATGTTGGGGATGCAAGTCTGAGTGAGAAGAATCTCCACGACATCATATATGAGGATATTTCGAGGTTCATGAGAGAGGCTTTGCATGGTTTGATCAACTCAGTCAGGGATGAGTTGATTTTTGTGATAGATAAGCGCCTTAGGGTTCTTCAGGTTGATTTGGAGGTCGGTCAACTCATGATTCAGGAGGTTTCCTTCTGGGAATTTCATGCTTGTGGAGCTCCTCGTTTCATTGGAGGAAAGGAGCCTATAATCAGTATGCATTGGATTGCTGACGTGGAGAGTGCCATTTATGCCAGATTTTGTCCGATGGAGGCCAACGTTAGATTTATGACATGTATTATGCACGAAAAAGCTAGGGATTGGTAGTGCGAGGTTGTTCAGGGCTTCGAACCTGATGCGGTTGAGTCTACATCATTGGAGGATTTTGTCACCAGATTCAAGAGAGAGTTTGTGTCGGTGGCTGAAATTTAACAATTAACTCAGGAGTATTTGACGCTAGATCAAACCACATAAATGGTTGTCGAGATCACCGAAATGTTCAGAGAAAGAACACGTATTTGCCCTTAGTATGCAGCAACGAAGGATATGACATAGGATCGTTACCATGACATGTTGAGATTCGAGAATCTATGAACATTTCAGATCATCAAACTCTTTCCCGTTTAGTGGAGACAGTAAGGGACAAGGAGCTGGAGTTGGAGATCCAACAACCGATGCGGCAGCAGGACCAGGTTCACGCAGCAATGTCAGCAACCAAGAAGACTCGGGTGGCAGGATTCAGTCAGGAGAGCGAGAGACTCACGAATCTAGTATCAAGTGCGGTCGGACTCATTGGGGTATTTGTAATGTCCGTGTTTCTGGACTAAGCATTAAAGACGATGTAATAGTCTAGGTCAACTATTGTAACGTGTTTTGAAGTAATAAGAATGAAAATGAATTATGTGAATTTATGTGTTTTATACTTAATTATTATGATTTAATAAATTAAGGATAAAAATAAGCGTCGAAAGTAAAATGTTAGATAAACCTGATATCTATGAATAAAGTTGTAGTGGTCGAAACAAGGATTCTGGAGATATAAAGAATACCGAAATCCGAGTTATAACGAAGAAGTTATGACATGTCGAAGTTTAACGACAGAACTGACACGACATTGTGTGACGTAAAAAGTTAATTTACGTTAAAGTGCTTTTTAGCCTTAGCGATACAAACTAAAGTCGTAGCGTTCATTAAACCGAGAGCGTGCATAAAAAGAATGTCCAAATCTGACTTCGTATGAGGAAGTTATGATTTTTCTAAGTTTCGGCTTACCAGTATGCAGCCCGGAACTCGAATTTTAGATCGAGTGATTTTTATCAGAAACAACCTAAACGAGAATCGAAGATCTTGTTGATACTAGTTTAACGGTAAAAAGACAGATGAAAACGGACGTCGGATGAAGAAGTTATGAATTTTTAACGGACTTTTTTTGTCCCGGCCTGTTAAAAATTTAACTTTAAAAATGAAGTCAAAATTAGCCGACGGAGTCTAAACGAAAGTTGTAGAGTATATCTCACCTAGGCATGGATTTAAAGAATGTCAAAAATGGAGCTCGTATGCGAAAGATATGGTATTTTGAAGTTCTGGGCACAAACTTCGAGGCTGGTCCGAAGGAGTACCCCCAGCGTACATAAAGATTACGTCGC